TATTTAAAATGTAGGGAAATTAGGCTCTTTATTACCTGATAGACATCTAATTCATTATCTACATCCCATAAATTAAAATACAGTAACTAGCAATAATATGTGTTGAGTTTTCGTTTTGACCCTTAATGAAAAACAATAGACACAAAACTCTAATTCTTTTTTTCCATCTTCTTGCCTCTTACATAGTTAACTATGTATGTTATTTTTTTTTATTATGCAAACTATAATAGGTGACTACGTTATGAATATAGTTAACTATGTTTGTAAATAAGTAATTATAACAACATTTTCACGTAGTCAACTATGTTTTGAAATCGGCATAATAGACAACTATGCTAGATCTGAAAATAGTTAACTATGTTTTTAAATTGATAATTATTTTCTAAAAAATAGTTAACTATGTTTTACATAGTTATAAAATAGGGTGAGATAAACTAATTATCTTCTAAGATCAATAGAATATGTAGTTTTAGAAATAGTCAACTATGTAATTTAAATAGTTAACTCGTAAATTTTGTCATTTTTTGTGTTTTTCTAACCCAAGTTTATTTTGTTTGCACATAGTAGTTCTACTTTTTTTTTATAGATGACACAACTTTAATGGCAATTTTCTAGAGATAAAAAATAATATTATTTAGAGATTTTTTCATACTTAACTTAATTACATTTGTAGGGGCAATTTGCAATTTAGTTTGATTTTTTAATTCTCTATGCTACTTACCTAATTCTATTATTTGATATGCTATTTACCTAATTTTTTCTTCCAAAAGTGATATTCAACGATTTTTTTTTTTCGTCCAGAGTTTTATTGCAATTGGCAAGGTGAAAAGTACTGATACAAGATCAAATCATGAAACAAGATAGAGAGAAACATCAAGATCCTAAAATGAAGGACATAACGATGTTCATATAGTGCTTCCCCGGCAATGCGATCATGTAGCCTAGCTGGACCCCCCATCGACAGATACGAGTGAAATCTACCATCCTGAGTGACACTCTTAGCGATGTCTCTAGCAATCGAATTTGCTCTATATGCTTCCAGCTCGAAACAACAGCGTTTGTATGCCAAGAATCCGACTGGTAAGAATGCGATACCGAGGCCACTCTAAAGGTTTTAATATGGCTTCAATCGCTGATTTATTCTCACTAACAACCAGTACATCCGTGAGGTACAAGTCAAGAAGACTCTGTAATGTCCAGAGTATACACCGGAGCTCTGAGATGATCCGATTAGGAGATCTTGTGAAGGCGTCACGTGCATGATATAATACAGATCTCGTGTGATCACGAACCAACCATGCTCCACCATTATGTAGAGCAGCATTCCGCCAGTTGGCATTCAAGTTGCACTTGACCACCCCTTGGATCGGAGGCTGCCAATGGTCAATCAAGCCCAAAGATCTATCTCTGCATTGACCACCTCCAACTTTTTCATATTCAATTCCCACCATCTTGTAGCCTCTTGAAAGACATGTGCAACTAACACATTCGTGCTAACTTAATTTCCAGAAATAAGAATTGTGTTTCTATTTTTCTATATGCACCATAACAACCATGGAATATATTAAAACGCAGATTCATTCAAGCCACGGTTCTCAACCAGCTCCAACATATATTTTAGGTTTTCTTCCAAAGAACTAAAGAATCTCGAGGTTGGAGTTGGAATGTTAGCCTCATACCAAAAATCTTGTGCATGTGTACAACGAAATAGGTAGTGGCATATGCTCTCAAATTCCTGTTTGCAGGTCGTGTCTCCACC